GCCTGCCTCTGCCTCCCAAGTGCTGGAGTTAAAGGTGTGCGCCACCAACACCCAGCAATAATGTATTTATTCTCATTTTATGAACATTGGCATTTTGCCTGCATGTATGTCTGTGTGAGGGTGTCAGATCTTGGAGTTACAGACAGTTGTTAGTTGCCATGTGGGTGCTGGGAATTGAACCAAGATCCTCTATAAGGACAGTAAGGACAGACAGTGCTCTTAACAACTGAGCCATCTCTCCAGCCCTGACCTTTGTATTCTTAACATTCTTTTTTTTTTTTTTTTTTTTTTTTTTTTTTTTTTTTTGGTTTTTTCGAGACAGGGTTTCTATGTGGTTTTGGAGGCTGTCCTGGAACTAGCTCTTTGTAGACTAGGCTGGTCTCGAACTCACAGAGATCTGCCTGCCTCTGCCTCCCGAGTTCTGGGATTAAAGGCGTGCGCCACCACCACCCGGCATGTATTCTTAACATTCTTAACACTGCCTAGAGCTTTGCAAGTACATCTTTTTTTTCTTTTTTAAGATTTATTTGTTTACTATGTATACATTGTTCTGCCTGCATGCCAGAAGAGGGCACCAGATCTCATTATAGATGGTGGTTGCTGGGAATTGAACTCAGGACCTCTAGAAGAACAGTCACTGCTCTTACCTCTGAGCCATCTCTCCAGCCCCAGCAAGTACCATCTTAAATGTTTCTCATAGCCAGGCAGTAGTGGCCAGGACAGGCTCCCAAGCTATACAGAGAATCCCTGTCTCAAAAAAAAAAAAAAAAAAAAAAAAAGTTTCTCATCGTTCTGCTAACACCTTTTGAACTTTTTTGTTTTTTTGTTTTGTTTTGTTTTCCTCTCAGGCTTACGGTGAAGGTTCTGGTGCTGACTGTAGACGCCATGTCCAAAAGCTAAATCTGCTACAGGGACAAGTGTCAGAGCTGTCACTCAGGTACAGTGTTGTGAAAGGAATGGTATTTTTATCTTGTTTCCATCTTGATTGGAGGGTGAGAGTTTACAATGGATAAATGTCTTAGAAGTTCATGTGCTGTAACAGTCAGTTAAACACTCTGAGCAGTCCTTTCAATAAAAATAACTAAGAGTAGCAAGCCTGGCTAGCAAGAAAATTGGGAGCCTTCAGAGGTCCAAAAGGGCAGAGGGACTGAGCCTGTACTCTGGAGTTGACAGGAGGATATCTGAGGGGCACAAGAAACAGTGGACAGAACAGAAGGCCTGAACTGTGTGTGGGTCATCATGGGACTGTCCTACTTGTATTTTGGATGGAGTCTCACCATGTGGCCCTCTGTGTGGATGTGACACCTTTCCTTACTTTATTGAGACTGGCCTCAAACTCTAGCTCCTCCTTGCTCTTTCTCCAGACACTGAGATGACTTAGGTGTGCCACCACACCTGACTCCAAGGTCTCCATAAACAGCTGAGTGCCAGAGGCTTGTGCACTGTCACACAAGTGAGCTGTAAGGACACCCACTGTGCAACAGTGTGCTTGCCTGTCTTGACCTTGGCAGTGGCTGAAGAAATCCATTCCCAAGACTTTGATACACAGGGACAACTTCCCTCAGGCTTCACCCTTTATTCTCCCCCTGAAAGGCCTCATGCCTAGAGGTTATTTTCCAGTTACCTCAGGCAGTGGAGGTCAGTGCCCTTCTTCTCTGGAGAGCCTATCTCCAGCTTGGGCCTTTGAGAACTCCCACAGAGAAAAGATGAAGGAATGCATATACAGATTTTAAAATTATTAAGTGCTCAAGGAAGCATGTGAGCCTGAGCAGCAGCCAGAGAAGTCAAACCCACACACACTTAAGAATATGTATTATGGCCAGGAGTTGGTGGCGCTCGCCTTTAATCCCAGCACTCCGGAGGCAGAGGCAGGAAGATCTCTGTGAGTTTGAGGCCAGCCTGGTCTCCAGAGTGAGTGCCAGGATGGGTAGGGTGGCACATGCCTTTAATCCTAGCAGAGACAGGTGGATCTCTGTGAGTTCAAGATTGGCCTGGTCTATAGAGTGAGTTCCAGGACTGGCTCCATAGCTACTGGAAAGATCTATCTCAAAAAAAAAAAAAAAAAAAAAAAAAAAAAAAAAAAAAAGACAAACAAATAAAAAACAAAAACCAACAACAACAAAAAAGAATATGTATTATGAGCTGGGTGGTGGTGGCATTTGCCTTTAATCCCAGTCAGCATTCAGGAGGCAGAGGCAGATGGATCTCTGGGAGTTAGAGACCAGTCTGGTCTACAAAGTGAGTTCCAGGACAGCCAGAGCTGTTACACAAACTCTGTCTTGAAAGACAAAAAGATAATCTGAGAAACTTAAAAATAGCCAAATGAAGGCTAGGTATGGAATGTGTGCCTGTAATCCTAGCACTGAGGAGATGAAGGCTAGAGGACCATTAGTTCAAGGTCATCCTTGACTACATAGTGAGTTTGAGGCCAGCCTGAACTACATGAGACCCTGTCTCAAAATAAAGAAAGCACCCAGATGGACAGGTGTATGGTTAAGGTGTGGAAGGCTCCCTTGGGGTTAGGATGTACCACCCCCCTGGTACATGCATGAGTTCACACTGCCTCCCTGTGAGCCTCCTCCTGTTCAATTGTCTCAGGATCTCTCTGAATCCTGCTCTTTGGGTTTTTCTGTAGATAGATGTGATTGCTGTTGATCAGTCAGGAAGTCTAGCAATGGCCTGTCAGCTCGACATTCTTGGCTCTGTGCAGCATTCCTCCTTCCAGAGAGAGGATATGACCCTTGTAGAATGAGGAGGCGGTGATGACCTTCTTCTCATAGACAAGGGTAGGACAAAGATAGTTCTAAAACAGAAAGACAGGCCAAGATTACAGTTGCTGTGCCGCACCTTGGGAAAGGGTCTGATGATCCAGATGAAAATGGAGATGGCCCTGGATGCAGGAGACACAGCTCTACCCTCCTGACTGTAGCCCTGAGTTCTTTCAGACACCTCTATTCAGGGGAAGCTAGTATTCTTTTTGTTTTCAGTTTTGTTTGCTTTTGTTTTTGTTTTTTTAAGATTTACTTATTTATTATATATACAGTATTCTGTCTGCCTGTATGCCTGCAGGCCAGAAGAGGACACCAGATCTCATTACAGATGGTTGTGAGTAACTATGTGGTTGCTGGGATTTGAACTCAGAACCTCTAAAGAGCAGCCAGTGCTCTTAACCTCTGAGCCATCTCCCCAGTGCTTCTTTTTGTTTTTCAAGACAGGGTTTCTCTGTGTAACAGTCCTGGCTCTCCTGGAACTCACTTTATAGACTAGGCTGGCCTCGAATGCACTGAGATCCACCTACCTCTACCTCCCAAGTGCTGGGATTAAAGGTGTGCGCCACTACCGCCCAACTAAGAAAAAGTTTTAATGCAATCTTAAGCCTGGACATTGAGACAGAGAGAAGTCAGGCAGTAGTGTCACACGCTTTTAATCCAAGCATTCAGGAGGCAAAAGCAGGCCGATCTCTTGAGTTCGAGGCCAACCTGGTCTACAGAATGAAGTCCAGGATAGCTAAGGCTATACAGAGAAACCCTGTCTCAAAAAAGAAAATGAAAACAAGAGGTGGGGAGACATGCTAGGGCAAGAACAGTCCACACCTGGGACATGCTGGCTTCTTCAGAGTCATGCTTACATGATTGAAAAATAACCATATTTTGGTGGCTTCTGAGGGGCCACTGCTCAGAGGGTTTTTAAGTAGCTGTTTTTGTGGGTTTTTTTCTTTTAGTAAATGACTTCATGGAGTGGTTTCTGAGGAGGGTAGGACCAGTTACAGCTATTAACATGAAAACATAGTCAAGAGCCAAGCATAGTGTCACAGGCCTCTAATCCCAAGCAGAGGCAGGTGGATCTCTGTGAGTTTGAGGCTACCTGGTCTACATAGTGAGTTCCAGGACATCCAGAATTACACAGTGAGACCCTGTCTCTTGTCATCCCAGCCCTCAGCCAAAAAAAAAAAAAAAAAAAAAAAAAAAAAAAAAAAAAAAAACATACATAGACTCATAGGTCAAGGGGTTGGAGGAGTCTAGCTATGCTAGGCCACGGGGACTTTAGTCGTGAATCTAGCTGTGCTGGCTACAGGGACTTTAGTGTGGATTTGTTTTGTTTCCTTTTTTTTTTTTTTTCTCTGATCTTTTTGTTTGTTTGATTGATTGTTGTTTGAACAGAGCTGCAATGTGTATAGCCCTAGCTGACCTGGAACTCAAAGATCCGCCTCTGCCTCCCAGGTATTCAGTTAAAGGTTTGGACAGCCTTGCCAGCCTTAAGGGCATGTTTTTACTGTAGACAAAGTTCATAATCCTGTTTGTAAGAATCATGGAAAGTTACAGGTTTACAGCTAGGAAAAGAATAAACTCAAAGGTACACTTTGGTCTTAAGATTGTGTTGTTGGTTTTGTTTTGGTTTTTGGTTTTTTGTTTTGCTTTGCTTTGCTTGGCTTTGCTTTGAGACCAGTATCACTGTATAGCCCTAGGTAAACTGAAACTCACTACATAGACCAGGTTAGTCTCACATTCACAAAATTCACCTCCCTTTGTCTCCTGAGTATTGAGATTAAAGATATGGGCCACCATGCCCTATAATATTCTTGTTTGAAATATCTCTACAAAAGTGGATATTATCTTTATGCAAGCAATAAGTAGTGAATTTTGATAGTTATCTCAAAATTCTCAGCTCTCGGCTCTTGAGAAACTTCAGCCAGACTTGGGTGAGGCACTCTTTTCTCTTTTCTTGTTCCCTTAATGTGCTCTGTATTTCTTCCTGTGTGAAACTGCATTTGGAAGTTTGATGGTGTGGGTGGTAAAAGAATCTACTAAAGGCTGAAAAAGACAAAGAGAATTCATTGTAAAACATTGCAGTAGAGGGCGCGTCCCTGAGGAGGGATCATGGAACTGAGGAATGAGAAAGGTCTTTATAGAAATAGAGGGGCATTTACTTGTGTGAGCTCCATAAGCAGGTGGACAGGCAGGCGTCTTGCTAGCTTACTGAGTGGTGACTTCTATAGTGGAAGAGGTTAGGTTCCAGGTATTCCTGTAAGACACTTTGAGCCACTAGGAATGAAACGTCAAATGATCATGACTGCATTTTGTTATTGTTGTTTTGTTTTTCGAAACATGTTTTCTGTGTGTAGCTTTGGAGTCTGTCCTGGAATTCTGTAGACCAGGCTGGCCTTGAACTCACAGAGATCCACCTGCCTCTGGAGTGCTGGGATTAAAAGCGAGCACCATCACTGCCCAGCCTGTGTTTGCTTTCATGTCTCCTTTTCCCATATGTCACCTGTTGTGAGGCAGGAGGGTCTTGTTGGCCATGTGGCTTTTCCCTGAATCACAGGGTCCAATTTCCCCTCCACTGACTCTCCTCATTGGCAAATATATACTGACTCGTTAGTCTCACCTCAGGTGTCTCCATGGCTTCTCTGACCAATAAGACAAATGACCTACTGGCCCTGTAAGGCTGCTTTTAGAAGAGGTCCAGTCATTCCTGGAGTCCTGACTGGCCTTAGAGAGCCCCCAACAGACCCTGTCCTCGTTGGCTCAGGCCTCCAAGCTTTGGTTGTTAAACACCCAGGACAGTGTTACCAATATTGAAGAATGAATGGACTTTAACTTGTGTAACATCTAGTTAAAGCTTAGAGAAAAACAAGTTTTAAAATAAAATTTCAGGTGGCTGGAGAGGTGGCTCAGCTGTTAAAAAGTACTGGCTATTCTTCCAGGGGACCTGGGTTCAATTCCCAGCACCTATGTGGCAGCTCACAACTGCCTGTAACTCCAGTCCCAGGGGATCTGATAGCCTCACACAGACACACATGCAGACTAAACACCAGTGCACATAAAATAAAAAATAAATCTTAATAAATTAATCAATAAATAAAATTTGAGCTGGGTGGTAGAAGTGCACATCTTTAATCCTAGCATCCAAGGGGCAAAGGCAAGTGGAGATCTTTGAGTTTCCAGGACAGCCAGGGCTACACAGTGAAACCATGTCTTGAAACACAAAACAACAAATAAATACATTTTGATTTTGTTAACTCATTTTTAAGTAAAAGCCTGAAAAACTTGTCAGTAAATATAATTATTTTGACAGCACAAAATCTGGGCTTATTGTGGCTGGTGTTCCCCCCCCGGTTCCAACAGCTTATAAAATAGCTCAGTGGGTAAAGGTACTTGCCACCAAGCCTACGACCTGAGTTCATTCCCTGGGACCCACACTGTGTGGAACCAGGGAAGACTCCAGGAGCTGTCCTCTGACCCACATGCATGCCCCTCCCCACAAGCAAAATGAATAATAGATGTAAAAAAAGAAAGCATAAAATATTTATTCCTTAGCTGTTACCAAAACCAAATCAGAGCCTAGATGTTAACCTAGATTATAGTTTTATATCACTGTACTAAATTTTTATCTGGGCAATTTTAACCTTAAATTGTTATATGTCTTAAATTGTTATCTGTTTGTATATCATTCTGTTAGTTCCCTGGAAAACTCAGGTATCGGGGTCCCAGGCCACAACCTCGGTCACCCCAATCACCAGGTAGATTTGAGAGCTTGCTGCAAACTGCATGAGGCTTTATTGTTTTTTTAACAAGCTAACCCCATGTTAGCTCGGGTCTTTCACCCACCCACCATGGTGGATGGCTTGCAGAAGACAGCTCAAATAGGCTGTAGAGAGAGATCTTGTAGGGCAGCATAAGGGGAGTGTCTAGGGGTACATAGAGGCTCACGATTGGTGTGCCTCCAGGCTTGGAGGACTTGCCCTGTGTTGATTGGCCAACTGGTTGTTATGGCCCTCCCAGGGTGGTTGCTATGCTCTGTGCGTCATTGCTTTGCGCTTGTCCAGAAAGTACACCCAGGGTCACAAAGCACAACGCCACCAGCTAACTTCTAATTGGTTCCTTGTCACGAGGCAAGCGTCTGACCTCTAAGTGACCAAGGCAAGGTTACTGTCATGGCTGCCGAAATGGGGAGCTGGTCCCTTCAATTCTTGACTGGGGTAGGTCTTGGACAAACTTCACCATCATTTGGAATGTAAAAAAAACAAACAACTCATAAATATTTTTTTCTTCTTAGTTGCACATTAGTCCAAGAATTACAGAATGTTACATTCCATCCAGGGCCAGCCAAGATGACAAAAGTTCTACATTGGATGACCTTCGGTTAATGAAATTATCTTAGGAGAAAAGGCAGAAGGGGGTAGAACACACAGAGCCAGAGAAAAGATTTTTAAATGTTAACCCTGTGACAACAGTTGTAACTCAAAGTTCTCCTGAAGAACTGGGAGAGAGTAAATGGTGGCTTTTGCTGTGGGTCCAGTGACATCAAGCTTGACCCAGAGCCCGTGTCTTTTTACAGAATTTTCTTGTTCCCTGGCAATGAAGAAACTGAGAACCAGGCCTTTCTTGGATTTTGTTTTGTTTTGTTTTTTCGAGACAGGGTTTCTCTGTGTAGCTTTGGAGCCTATCCTAGCACTCGCTCTGTAGACCAGGCTGGCCTCGAACTCACAGAGATCCACTTGCCTCTGCCTCCCCAGTGCTGGGATTAAAAGTGAGCACCACCAACGCCTGGCCCTTTCTTGGAATTTAAGGTGCTGTTGTGTGATATGGACTTTACTATTGTCTATTTGTCCTTTAGTAGACCCATTTTTCTCCCAGAATGGTCATCTTTTTCTTTAAAAACAAAAGAAAGCACTTTTTATGATTTATTTATGTGTGCATAGGTCCCACTAAAGAACAGTGACCAGGGCCCACCTATCAAACAGGAAATAAGGTTATCTTTAGCTTGTGCCCATAGTAGGCATGCGTGGAGGTCAGAGGACAACTTGCAGGAGCTGTTTATATCCTTCCACATGTGAGTCCTGGGGATCAAACTCAGGTTGTCAGGCTTGGTAGCAGATAGCTGTGCCCTCTGAGCCAGCCTTGTACCCTTTCTAACCAGAATTAAGACAACCCTATCAGAGAGGGGGAGCTTGGCAGTGACAGTCCCCATAAGGGAAAGGACATTATATTTATTGGGTGTCTGGATATGACTATTTGGGGCGCTTGGCTTTTTCCAGAAGGGTTTCTCTCTCTTCCCTACTTATATCCCAAACACATAGCAACCAGAATCTTCCTTCTTTCTTTCTTTCTTTCTTTCTTTCTTTCTTTCTTTCTTCCTTTCTTTCTTTCTTTTTTGAGACAGGGTTTCTCTGTATTGTTTTGGAGGCTGTCCTGGAACTAGCTTTTGTAGACCAGGCTGGTCACCAACTCACAGAAATCCACCTGCCTCTGCCTCCCAAGTGCTGGGACTAATGGTGTGTGCCATCAATTCCCGGCCAACAAAATAAATTTTAAAGAATGTATTTGGAAGTCTTCTCCACTCTGGTTTCAAAATGTACTATAATGCTTACAGTCCTGAAAAACATATATCAAACTACTTCTGTGGCCAGACAAGCTGGAGCCACGGTCAGGTTCTCAGGTTCACTCCTGCCAATCCTAGAAGCAACACTAATAGACCAGAAAGTCAATAAAGAAAACTGAGTTTATCACAGCTTACAACCTGACCAAACTTGGAAGGGGGAGGGGGGACGTGACAGGACGACACATGACACGACAGGGGACACAGACAGAACACAAAACCTCCTAATTTCTCCATTTTCCTTGTGGTGACCTTACTAAAGATGCACGCCTTCAGTCTCAGCACTCAAGAGGTAGAGACAGGCGGATCTCTGTGAGTTCAAGGCCAGCCTGGTCTATAGATCGAGTTCCAGGACAGGCTCCAAAGCTACAGAGAAACCCTGTCTTGGAAAAAAACAGAAAAAAATAAATTAAAAACTAAAAACCTATCAGCTGGGGGTGGTGGCGCACACCTTTAATCCCAGCACTCAGGAGACAGAGGCAGGTGGATCTCTGTGAGTTGGTCTACAGCCTGGTCTACAGAATTAATTCTAGGACAGCCAGGGCTAGAGAACCCTGTCTTAAAAAACCAAACCAAACCAAACCAACCAAGCAAACAAACAAAAACCAGAATTGCAGAAGTCAGTTCTCTCCTTTCACCAATTGTGTCCCAGAGTCAAACTCAGGCTATCAAATTAGGTGACACACACCTTTATCCACTATCTTAGTTAGGGTGTCTATTGTTATAAAGAGACACTATGACCATGGCAACCTTTTTTTTTTTTTTTTTTTCTCAAGACAGGATTTTTCAAGATGACATTTCTCTACATAGCCCTGGCTGTCCTGGAGCTCTCTATGGAGACCATGATGGTCTCTAACTCACAGAGATCTGCTTACCTCTGCCTCCTGAGTGCTGGGATAAAAGGCATGTGCCAACACCTTCCAACCCATGACAACTCTTACAGAGGAAAACATTTAATTGGGGCTGACTTACAGTTCAGAGGTTTAGTCCATTATCATCATGGCAGGATGCAGGCAGACATGGTGCTGGGGAGATAGCTGAGAGTTCTACATCCAGTTCCGAAAGGGGCAGGAAGAGAGAGTAGCACTGAACCTAGTTTGAGCAACTGAAACCTCAAAGCCCTCCCTCAATGGCTCAATTATTTCAACAAGGCCACACCTCCTAATAGTGTCACTCCCTAGGAGCCTGTGGGGGACATTTTCATTCAAACCACCACACCCACTGAGCCATCTAGCCAGCCCAAACTCTTGGGTGGATCCTATAGTAGAGTAGGTGTTTTCAGCATATGGTATCATTTCGTCCTTGTGGCCTCATGAGAATTACTGCCTTCTTTAGGCTGGAGAGGTGACCAGTTGGGGTCACCAACTGGGGGCTCACTAGAGAGAATGCAGACACTATCTGAGGTAGGTAGACACGGTTGATCTAACCTCCACTACTGTATTTAGATGTTTTACCTGGCTGTCCAGCCCCTCAGTTACAGGAAGCAACCACTCTCCCCAGACCTCCTGAACTGCTGAGAAATGACTGCCTCACAAGAGGGCAGCAAGGGTATGCCTGTGATGCCCCAGGATACTCCTGGCCTTGCCAGGTCCTTGTGTCCACCTGCTTCCACCTTCCCTATCCTGCATCTTCCTGGTGGGTTCCCAGGGTCATATTTGCCATCTTCCCCTAAGGTCTGTGGACAGAGCTGCAAGTGAAGAGGAACATGCCGGCCCTCAGCAGGCTGAGAACCGGAGTCAGCAGGTAAGCTAATGACAGGCGTCTCCCAGTGTCCCTGGACTGCTCTTTATGGGTTTCACTCAAGTACTTCCAATGAACAAAATTAGAAGACATTTAAAGATCTCAGTCAGTTTTATTTGCTGGTGTAGAATCAGGCAGTAATTCAGTCCATAAAACAGAATGAATGTTCCAGTGAACTGAGCAGAGGCTTGATAGACAAGACAGCAATGAAATTAGTTATGAAGTAGCAACAAAATTATTTTATGGTTAGGGATCACCACATGAGGAACTGTATTAAAAGGTTGCAGCGTTAGAAGGTTGAGACCACTGCTCTAGAGTCTCTGTCTCCATTGTGCTCTACAAAAAGTCTTTCCTGGTGATAAGAGAGAAACATGGATCCTGAGAAATTTGACCCAAGGGTCATGGGTTGGACTTGGGCTTCTCTCAAACTCTGAGCCTTGTCCTTTGTTCTGATACTCAGGCGCTGTCTGAGCCCCTGGAGTCCCGTTGGCTGAAGTATATGGACAAGGGCTGTGAGGACCAGGAGCTGGACAGAGGAAGAGCAGCTCCTAAAATACAGCCCTCAGCCAGTGCTGAGTGGCCAGGTCTGCCCTGCAGTCCAGCCCGAACCAGGAAGAGGTGCCAAGTTCATCTAGCCATCCCCATGCCCACTCTGACTCCTTGGGGTGGGGGGAGTAGTGAGCAGCTCCTAGAAGTCACTAAGTGGTACTCCCGTGTTGTACTTCAGTGGGTGGACAAAGTGGTGCTAACCATCAGACTGCATGCTGCCTGGCAGAGGGAGCAGGGGGCTGGCTAGGCCTCCCTGGATGCCTATGACTCCACTCCTAAGGGGCTGAAGCAGGGGCACCATGAGCTCAGGCCAGCTGTGGAAGCATGGCCAAAGTAATCAGTGGGCCAGGGTTTTTGTTACATGAGGTTTCTCCAGATCTCTATGTGCCGCAGTGGGTTTCTAGAGAGACTCCTTAGGCTCAGGATGCTGTATGGCTCTCAAAGGGCAAAAATTATAATTTCAAATAAGAATATTCTAACAACTACAAACCAGAGAAGGGGCCTGGCCAGGCTGTTCCTGGAGGTGGTGTAGGAACCTGTAAAGGATGAAAAGATTCCTCCCTATGTCAGGCCTGGAGATCTCAGTTGCTGTCTGTGAGGACCATTGAATGAGAGAACTTAATGATAGCACTTCCTTCCCTCCAGGAAATGGAATCAGAGTACAGGGCAGCCGCCACGAAGTCTGCATATCCAGGACTTGGACAGTGTTGAGGACAACTTTGAATGCCAGGTCAGTGACCAGGAACCTACATATGATTGTGTGCATGTCTGCACATATATGTGGACCCATACATGCAGTGTTAGGGCTTAAGGCCAGGGCCTGTGTGTGATCGGCATGAACATTGCTGCTAAGCTACAATCCAACCTCAAGGAATTTGGTTTTGTTCTACATTGCCGCATTGCCTAGGCTGGCCTCAAACTTCTGGGCCCAGGTCATACTCTTCCCTGTGCCTTGTGAGCAGCTGAGACTGTAGGTACAAGGCTCGGATAACATATTTCTTCACAGTTAAAGATTTATATATTAAACAGACCAGCTTCTAGTATGAGATCTTTGTCTTTTCTGCTTAAAGCTAAGTCCTGAGACTAGACCTGGTGGCAACCTTTAATCTCAGCACTCTAGAGACAGAGTTCAAAGCCATCCTAGTTTACATGGCAAGTTCCAGGATCCATAGTAGACCCCGTCTCCTCCCCCCAAAAAAGGCCAACTCCTGAGCCAGGTGGTACACAGCCGTAATCCCATCACTTAGGCAGGAAGAGCGTGAATTCAAGGCCATTCTGACTTACAGCAAGACATCATAGTCATCATCCCATGAGGTTTATTCACAGCCAAGAGAGCGTCATGAGACCCAGCTAAGGCTGACCAGTAAGGTTTCAGGCAAGACTGTTTTCATCCTGCGGAGTGGAGGAGCTTTGTTAACCTGGTTGGTCACAGTAGAAGTTGCCCTAGGTTTCCAGCCAGGAACGCCTGTACCAATGCACTGCTCGCTTTGGTGTGTTGGTGGTGCTCACACCTATCAGGCCCCACTGCACATGCAGCATGGCTGAAGGAAGATTTTGTTTTGTACTGCTATAGAAGCCCTTGTTCTTTTCACCTCCTCTGCCCCTAAGGCCTGCCCAGCTCAGCCTCAGACTGCATGAAGAACACAGCACAAAGTCAGCAGACAGATTTTTCTGTGTAGCCCTGGCTGTCCTGGAACTTGCTCTGTAGACCAGGCTGGCCTTGGACTCACAGTGATCCACCTGCCCTGCCTTTCAAGTGTTGGGATTAAAGGCATGTGCTGCCACACCCAACCCAGAATTCAATTTTTAATGTTTTCTTGAACTAGTGATCCAGTAGGTAAGAGTTCCATTGATTCAGAATCATGGTAGTGAGTTACAGAGACTTTACCATGGACCACACCATAGACCAAACACTCAGTGTTCAATTTCACCAGTCTGTTGTTTTAGAGGAACTAAGACTTTTGAAACTTCAGTGAGTTCACAGCAATGTCAGTGGAGCCAAGATCAATAGTCAGGGTGATGGTCTTTTTAGCATTATCTGGGCAGTCAGGAAGCAAGATCCAGTGTTGTCAAATTCCTTTGTAAACAGTGAAACCCAGTTTCTTGTGTGTCTTTGGTTTCTGAAATGGAAGAAGCCAGGCTCAGCACCTTGTCACCTCCCAGAGACCTCGGTGCAGCCACCTGGGCTCCTGACCCTCAGTCCAGCTTTGAAGAGCTGTTCCAGCCTAGCTGGGACCAAACAGGCTTGATGAACTAACTGCATCTCTAGGTAGTGGAGTATAGGCCCCTCCCTGCTCACACCTCCTCATGGGGACTGCTGGCCTGTCCCAAAGCATCCCAGGAGATGGCTCACTCAAGGTGTCTCCTTTATGGGAGAAATGTGGTCATGGGATTTATCAGATCAGGGTAAGGTAGGGGCATTTAGAAACGGACTTGTTAGACCTCACAGTAACAGCATGTCCCTAGCCTGCAGGGATTGGCCAACAGTCCTGCCAAGCTGAACAGAACCCTTTCTCTTTTTTTCAGGACTCCACTGGCCTGTTAGGGACAGAGCGACAAGTTGGCAGCTCTGCCCTCGGGGCTGCAACCCACATCAGGGAGCTTGGTTTTCCTAGATGGAAACTACCAAGTCCTGTCCTGCAGGTCAAGGCCCAATCTTCTAAATGGGCACGGTTTCTGCTGTCACCTGGAAACAGCCCACATGTGGATGAGAACCCATCAAGATTTCTGCAGGGCACCAGGCTAGCTGACCCAACACAAGCTGAGCAAGGGACCCTTGATGCCAAGACTCCAGGGGAAGGCCACTTCAGCAGGGCCCCTGACACTGTCCAGCGCCCTCATACCACTCCCGCTACCACACCCCAGCCAGAGGGGCCTGGCAGGAAGACCCCAGAGCAGCCATGGGCCATGGGGACTCCTCAAGCAGATGGTAGGCCCTTGGCTCAAGGGGCACAGAAGGCCCCAGCAGTGCACAACCTCTTTACAACTGGGGAGGACTTTGAGGATGACCTGTAACCTTCACTCTGACTCATGTAATGGGTCCTCCATGCCACAGGCGGAGGTGCTTTAGAACAAATAACCCGAACAAATAAATATGCCTGTCAAACAGATTTTTCTTGTTCAACAATAATAAGGACCACAGGGTTGGTTAAAGTGCATATGCCACTTAATTACAGGTCATTTAGAAATCAAGTCAGAGAAAGCTACATGGGGTTTCATTTAAAAGCATTAACATTGGAACGAAAACTAAGTGTGAATCATTAAAAAGTATATGGTGAGACCCTTCAGCTGACTTCAAGAGTTCTCCATCCCCCAGGAGCCAGAGGCCCCAAATGCCCGCCACCTTTGACTTACTGTGGACAGCCCCCTCTTAACATAATAGCTTTATTTGTTGAAAATAACTGTCAGTGTATTAATCACTTTTAACAAAGAAAACACAGAAGGTCATCAGACAAGAATTCTGACTGCTGGTGCAATGCTGGCGGTAAGAGCAAGTGCAGTGTACCTCTGCAGCTCCCTGGCAAAGGCCAGGCTCAGGGAAGGCAGAGGGAAGCTCAGCCACAAGTACCTGGGTCTGTTCTCAGGCGTCAGCATGTACACTCTTGGAACTGTCCCCTCATGTCACTCTCCTACTGCTTTAAAGGCTTCACACATTCCCACCTGTAGATTCTGGAAGAATGCTAAGAAACTGGCCCTACTGAGGCCCTGCTGCTCTACTTGATGCAACTACAAGACAAAGGGGGTGGGTCACAGGGCTTTGGCACAAGCCCGTCACAATGGCGGAGGGTGCTTTGAATACTGGATTGTGTCCAGTGCAGCTCCGATGTCGTAATTCTTGGTCTGTAGGAGCCTGGTGAGCCAGCCACCTTCATCAGAGAAGCCCATGGACAGCATCTGGGAGAGTGACTCGATCAGTCGGGGATCAGCCTCTGCCAAAACAGACAGGAAAGTCAGGCACCCTGCAGCACTCCAAACATAGCAAGTCCTGCCTGCCAGGAAGACTGCCCTGTTTAGGCCTCACAAGAACCCTCAGAGGCCAGCTAAAGGGCCAAACAGCCCTGTTTTGTAGGCTTTCCAGTCTGTCACAACTGTTCAACTCTACCATTGTAGCATAAACAGCCAGAAGGTATGTAAACAAATGAGTGCAGTTATTTTCCAATTAAGTTTATTGCCAGATGTGGTGGCTCAAGCCTGTAGTTCTAACACTCAAGAAGAGGAGGCAGGAAGATCATTCAGGGACATCCTGGGCAACAGTGGGACACCATCGCAAAACCAACCCAAATAAAAACCATTTAAAGATAATAAAATGTGAATCGTGAATCTCCTCTAACTGCCTCTGATTCCTCACCCTCTGTTGTTATTTGGCGTATGTACTTATATTCCTATGTAGGTGTACATGCATGTGTGAAGGTGTGGCAGCCCAGAGCTGAAGTAGGAGTCTTCCTCTGTTGCTCCCCACTTGAAATCATGTATTGCCAACTCCAGCTTGTCTATCTAGCTAGCCAGCTTGTGAAGGGATTTTGTCTGCCTTCTGCCATGCTGGACTACAGACACAGTTGCCACGCCTGCACAGCAAGCACTTTATTGGATGAGCCAGTTCTTCAGCTCCCCTGCTCTAGTCTGACTCCAGTCCAGAGCCTTGCAAGTGAGATAAGCAGTCTGCCATGGAGATACAGAGGTAGGTCTCACTGTGTAGCCAGGATGGCCTTGAACTCATGATTACAGCCCCTTCCCAGACTCTCATGCACCAGTTTGCTGCCCCTCTGGCTCTCATGCACAAAATAAGTTTGTAAGCCCCAAGGCCAAATCTGGCCCGGAGAAAAGTTAGCCACCTGAACACCGTTAGCCTGGGAGCAGGCTGCCTCTCTTGCAGGGTGTACACTTGGGATTAGCCACTCCTGTCCAGCATTTTCCATACTCTGCCTGGCTTCTACTAGGGCCTTGACTGTGGTGCTTGCCATTAAAATTTGCAACCCCCTGAGGAAATGGTGTGTAGGGTTTGAGTTCAGTTCATGGTACAAAGCAGCCCAAACCAGTGTTGCCTTTCCTGTAACATCTGCCTTCTCAGAACATCTGGGTATTGAGATTTAGAAATACTTAAAATGAGATGAGGTTACTGTTGCTGGATGCAAACAGAAGAGGTCAGACCAGCTTCTAGTTTTCTCTGATGTCAACTGACAGCCCCACCAAGGAGTGTGCCGCAGACAAGCCTACAATCCCAAAGCTACCCTGCACTACACAACTAGGTACTGCCATTTAAAAAAAAACCTAGGCCATGCTACCCCATTTTGTGTTACCAAAACCAGACTTGGGCTAGGATACTCTGAAAGCAAAGGAAAATGAAACTTCTGGTGACCACATGCCTGGTGGGAGATGTGGGTACAAGGCAGCTTCCTTCAGCCCTGTGGGTCCTTCCTGTGAGGGGTCTAGAGAGCTTGGCCCTTCTGATTCCGGCATCTGTAGAGACTGGAGTTCACCTGTGGACGGGTCCACTTCTTTGGAAGACAAATGTGTCCAGTCATCATCTCCTCCTGAGCAGTTATCAGACTCCATCTGTTCCTAGAATACAACCTGCTGTGAGCACAGGGGTCTAAGTGACTGACCAGTGGGACCCCACGATCTGTTCCCAGCAAAGTATGGCAAAGAGAGCTGCCTGCAAAGGACATGTCTGTCTGATTTTTTTCCCATAACGATAGGGGTTGAACCGAGGACCTCATGTATATCAGGTAAATGCCTCATAATGAGTTACCGCTCCAGATCCAAGAAAGTCTTTCTCAACAGAGTTCTGTTTGAAGGCTCAGAGTGACTGGAGACACCACAGGGATAACAGGAAGGACAGGATCCCTCTGGCTGCAGAATGGCTTGGGCTGAAGCCAAGATGCCAAGCAGGTCAGTTAAAGCTAGTGGGAGAAAGCAGACCTACCTCTGGCTGTCCCACTGACTCCAAGGCGATCTTTTTCATTTGCTCTGTCAGGGACTGTGAAGTGCCTTCGCCTGCCTCGTCAGGCTTGTTAACCTCTGATGAGCAGCTACTTGGCTGAGTGCTGCACTTGTCTTCTGTGTCCATGCTGGAACTTTCTGGGGAGGTGGGTGTCAGGCGGCTTCTCTTCCCTCCATGTTCCACATCAATGTCAACCTCAATGCCTAGAGCAGGAGGAGGAATCAAGCTGTCAAGTCCAGAGGCCTCCCCTGCCTGTGACATCAGTGACTCGGTGAGTTGGGCACTGTGGACTTAGGAAGTGCTTCAGACTTAGTCCCTCACAGCACATATGGATTGGGACACTGGCAGTCAGCATAAGGATGCAGAGGCTAGACTCAACCTCAGGGCCACATAACCATGTAACCATGTGACAACCCCCATGGGCCAGCTGAGCTCCTCCTTCCAACCCAAACTTGCTAACAAGCCTATCACATTGGTCCTTTCCCTTCCCCTAACCCACAAAGTCCCCAGAGGGAACTTTCTCCCAACCCAGTAGGAAAGCAGGCTGCAGGAGGGCTATACATGGGCAGAACACCTAACCATGATTGCTGGATGCCACAACACACAGGATCTCATGATGCGACAATTACACACCTGAACTCCAAGTTTCAGTTCCGTGTGTGGCCAGTCTACCAGCCTGCTCATGTCTGGTGGGGGAATAAGGACAGGCAGCTTCACCTGTGCTGCTCACAAACTAAATGTACCAAGGACAACACACACACAGCTTTAACAGTTCCTTCCCACTCTCCAGAATCCCCCACTTTCAGCCCCCACATCTGTTTATTTCCTACTGTGTCAGTATTTACCTCCCCTTTCCCTGTTCTTTTAAGAGCTACCTTTGACTGAAAAAAAAAACAAAACAAAAAACACTACTAACGTGCTATGTAAATGTTGCTGTGCACAGGGCTGTATGTCCTCTCTATTGTCAAGGGTCTCTCTCTCCTTTTGTTTGCTAACTTCTTGTTTCTTCTCCAGAGTCTTTCATTTTCTGTGGTTCAGGGCTCTCAGTCGCCCATCAGGTCTGGCTTTTGGAGAGCACCTTCAGTGGCCAAGGCCCTCCTCTAAGGTGTAGCAAAGGTCAGCTAAATTCTCACGGATGGAATCCCCAGAGGGCTGACTGTATTCATTTGAGATAGTCTCTGAACCTAAGCCTTCCTTCTATCACTCAGCTTTTTTTAAAAAAATAGTAACATTAATTTTTATGTGGGTGTTTTCCCTGTATATATGTATCTGTGCACCTGTGTGCTTGGTGCCCATGGAGGTCAGAACAGAACAACAGATCCCCTGGAAATGGAGTTACAGACAGTTGTGAGCCACCATGGGGTGTTGGGAGTTGAACCTGACCTCTGCAGAAGTACCAGTGCTGTTAACTACTAAGTCACCTCCAGCCCCCTCACTCAGTGTTAGCACTTTCTTGTTGTTTCCTTTGCTACATTTTTTATGGCACCTGCTTTCTCATAAATCCAGTACTTTTCTGTCCTCATCCTAGCACACTTTCCCAGGTTCGGAGGCTTTCCTCAATGGCCAGCCATCCCAGAGGCACTGGCAAGAAGCTCCGCCTGCAGGACCAGGGCAGTTGCCAGCTTCACATATGCCGATGTCCAGAGACAGGCATCAGTGAAACCCAGGTCCCAGGAGCTGGTGTTCTTTGCCAGGGTGTTTGGCTGGCCTCCCCTCAGCAGGACTCTTCAGCTGTTGTCAGGCCAGTGGGGCTGAAATGCTAGGCCCCTTGTTCCCCTGCTCACTCCTGATGCCCACTTCTAGGCTGGTGCCTTAGCTTATGTGGCAGAAGCTTCTCAGAGAGAGGCACTTCAAGTACTGAACATGAAAGTGCTGGGTGGAGCCTGGAGCTCTCTAACTCTTTTATGAAAGGTCTTCTAGCTGCTTTCTTGTGCCTTGGCCTGTCGCTCCCTCTCACCCTTAATGGTACCAGTCCAGTGGGGATTGTTTTGTTTTTTGACACAGGTTTCTCACTATGTAGCTCTGGATAGCCTGGAATTTCCTATGTAAAACAGGCTGTCCTTGAACTCAGAGCTCTGCCTAACCATTGTCCTGGTGCTGGTACTAAAGGCATGTGCCATCATGTCTTGCTTCTTACAAGGGTTCCCTGTGCAGCCGCCTCTCTCTGTG